GGGGGGGGGGTCGGGGGTCGTCACTGAATGACATCCAGTAAATTTCTAGCGGGGACCAATCAGAGGGCTGCTGAATAATTTGAATAATTCATCAAGGCCCACGGAAGCGGTTCTTCACTTGTAAAGTAGCCAATTACCACCGAGCCGGTGGCACACGATGGGCGAAAACATGTATTTCACACCCATTGTACGTCGACATAAAGCGCTTATACATTAGAAACAGAATTTTCGTAGGACTGCCATTACTTTAGTTTGCAGATGTGTATTGAGAACGAGTACTAGTATCTTCATAATTCTGCTGGTTGTTTGTAGAAGAACTGCAAAATAAAACAGTTTTCAATACCAACACGACTTAGCAGATAACACGTAATGAAGCCACTTTTTACGCAGATTGTAGCACTACGTAATGTTACACAAACTAATAGTAGATGTTTTTCACAGGATTTCACAGAAATGACAATGATAACAGTAATGTAGTCGTCTTTGGCCGGGTATGGCAAGTTATAGTACGTACATGTATCGGTTCAATCTTTAACGGGTAAGTTGACAGCAACAAGCAAGATGCATAGCCTTAGGTTCTTTACTTTTGTAGCTCACTTGCGTCTAGATTTGGGACGAACCCATGTTACTTTTTCGCCGCAGTTTTTAATGTAGTGGTTACTTCGACAGCCTTTCCGCTGACGCAAACATACTAGTTTGAGGTTCCACAGTTCTTACAACGTTAGCGCTTGAAGTGGTGTTTTCCAAGTTTGTTGGTCTGGTGATGTTGTCTTTGTTGGCTTGTTGTCTGTCATTTCCCTCCATTTTTATGTTTGGCGGCCCGTCTTCGATGGGTTGGGTTTGCTTCACAAATCTCGGCTTCGCTAAGATCCGTTCCTTCCCGTACGTAGTGGTCGCTCCATTAGCGCTAGTGCAGCCACATTTGAATGTGTAAAACTTAATGTCTACAGTCCCGTTTTGATTCGTTCATCAAAGTAGATTTTACTAAGGTATGACTTTACTAACTGATTGTGGAAGTACTAGTGCTTAGTACTGATGTAAACAAGAAACAATTACGCGCTCTGGTTGAGTTCATGGCATTTACATGAGGCAAGGTGCTAATAGCCGCTAGTCGGTGACGCGTCAGCAGCCCTATGATTGGTCCCCGCTAGAAATCTACTGGATGTCATATAGTGTACACGGGGGGGGGGCTTAAAAGTGCCCGCGGCAACTTTGATGTCACCTAGCGTCTGAACGGCTAGCCGTAGAACGGCCAAACTTAGTGACTTTTCCTAAAATATTGTTGGCAACAATTCTTTATCATTGAAATAAGATAATAATTTTTGTGTTGCCATGGTAACGGGTTTCTGACAGGCATTTTTTTGCTAAATTTAGTACTTTTTGTTTCAACAATAGAATTTTATGCGTTTTATGTCAAGTTACTTATGGTTTCTAATAATAATAACATCCCATATAATTCTATGTAAATTTTTTACATTAAATATGCATAATTTATGCTAATTTGATGACGTCATTGGCCAAAATCCAAGATGGCGGACCATTTCATTAGAACAGGTATATACAGGTTATTTTCATTAAAATTTCATCAATACTTCCATTTCTTTTTCAAAAAAAAGGTTTAAATGAAGGTCTTTAGTATGTTTACAATGTATTTTAGGCTTTGTCATGAAAAAAACTATTTTGAAAATTCAAGATTGATTATCCAAGATGGCGGATATCTTAAATATGCATGACGTCATTTTATGACGTCAGAGGTGTTGCTATGGGCAACATAAGACTTAGTACACCATAATATTCTGTCATAAACACTTTTGGTACAGTTATCTTGAATACCATTTAGTTTTCAGGAAAAAACCTATTTAGACGGTTTTGGCCAATAAAATCACACTAATGACGTCATAATGACGCCATATTAAGTTATAACGACATTAAAATTGTAGATATGATAAATTTTTACTAGTACACCATTCTCTGAAACTTTGGTGGTCATACGACATACCGTTAGCGAGTTCTTGGGGGGGGGTCAAAAGAGCCCCCCCGCCGGTCCCCCATGTCAAAAAAAGCCCGGTCTAGGTAGGGTTAACACACTTATTTCCTAAATGGCACCAATTTGCAATTGAGTAAATTCGTCTTAAAAAAAATTACCAGAAGATGTTTTATGTAATGCATAATGTAGCTTTAAAATACTCCTTACTTTATGTGATATATAACATTGTATAGTTCATATTGGTTATTCAGTGCTGTTAAGGCTTGAATTACCAATTTTGCTCCCTGTCCCTGTAAGTTTTGTTCCCCCAGGCCGGCAGGATTCTGGAGCGCCTTGGGGTGACCCTGTTTCCGCGGGAGCCGATTAGATTTTTCGGCGAGGCGGTGGAAAATGTGATTAATATGAGAGGAAGCAACAATGAAGAGGCGGTAAGTACTTATAGATTGAATCTCCTTTTATCAAAATCGGGGACGAGTGCCATTTCGTAGTCGATTGTGCAGTATATTAATTGAGATGATTGCTTTTGAGTTTTAGATAAAACGGAAAATTTTGTATTGCTTATGAACTTTTGCGAACCATGCATCATTATCTCCATATGTTCGTACGTTTACAACTGCCTCAGGGAGCTAGAAGAAATTAAACCTGTAAATAGTAATTCAAATTAGTATATTTAGTTTAAGTCAGATACTATTTTACGTTTTCCTGTTTATTCATAACCTGCACTTAGCTTTTAAGAGCATAAACGTATGTATAAGAAAGATCTTTCATTCATTAAATATGTTCAATTATTCTATAGCTGCAAATGCATCGATATCGGTCCGTTGGGAAAAAGGCTTTTGACTTATCACCAAATGTCTTCCAAATTATTCCTAGAAACCAGCGGACTTTCTTCAGCTGATGCTTAAGTCACACAACGAAGACCTGGACAAGGAAGTACCGAGTAACATCATCAAGCATGGTCAGTACATATATTCTACATAAACATGGAAATATGTTGTAACAATTGTCTCTGGGACATCACCAGGTATATTTGTTTAAACGTTTCCTCTTGGTAATAGGTAACATGTATCAAAACCAGGTGATTAATCATTAATTATCCTTATTAGGGCGACGGTGATCGTTGAAAGTTTATTTCTTTGTCCTCGTTGTGTAAAGCCTAACATTTTATTGTGATTGCGACCAACAAAGATGAAGTTTCATGACAATCAATATTCAATTTCATTATTTATCATTACAAACTTCAAACTGTTTAGAAACTCAAAGAATTTACCTTTAACCCTTGCCCTATTGGCATTTTCACGCAATATTTTTTGGAATAAGTCTATGTATTAATCACGTCATAGACCCCTTGATCTTTTTGCCGGCCCTGTGGTGGCGTAGTTACTACTTTATGTGTTGCGTTTCGCTGCGGTGTGATGCGTCATTGCACGAGAAATACCCTCATAGTGCATATACCGGGCGAGATATAGAGCTTATTCACCACACGTCATCATGACGTCACCACCCCTCATGTCCCGTGCGACGCCATTTTGGGGTCCACCTCTACATTGAGTTTCCAAGCGTTGAAATGGCCGACAAACGTTAGGTAAACTGTCCTTTGTCCTATTACACGAAGAGTTAACCACCACTCATACCTCTCGTTACTGGAACAAAATAAAATCTGTTGGGATTGACCCGTTTTTGTTGAGTTTTGATCAGTCTGATCGAGACGGCGTCTACCGCCAGCGGAGTCCATTGACGCGACTAAGCTTTGTACTCACGGGGCAGAAGTTTTTACACACAGGATCGGTTCAAACCCTTTAAGAGTCTGAAAGCGTTTGATTTGATTTGATCGTTGTATCAGGATGTGTAGAGAGTGTTGTGGGACGTGCAGTTTCGTGGTGAAGTACGTTGTAGACTGTCGGGATACGCAAAGGTCGCTATTTTGGAACAGCCTCGGACTGTGTCTGGATAATAACAAACAAATGCGGGGCCATCGGCCGCCGACCGGCCGCCATCCACAGTCCGCACTGCCGCGACTGTGGCTGGACAAGGTGAGTGTTACAAGTTGCCAGGGCCCTGTTCTACGTGGACATTTACCACAGAGTAAAAGGACAGGTAGCTCCAACAGATACGTGGCCATGGCTACCCACGTTGGCATCTACAGGCCCCTACGCCAGGGTAAAACACACCGATTTCTGATCAGCAAAAAAAGCCGATAAAAGCCGATCTTGAGAACATGAGACGTGGTCATGGAGCCAGAACAACCCCAAGGACAATGTTACGAACAAGAAGAGTGTTCAAAACGTAGATTGTGGCCCAAAACACGCAACTATCGCCAAGAGTTTGCATAGCGTACCATAGCGATAGGCACCAGGCTGCACCCCCTAATGGCGGACAATGCTCGCTGCCGGGGGAAGAGTCACGTGACCATCTGTGGTGGATAAGCCCTATAGATGATATTGTAGGTGCAACCCAAGTATATCTCGGCTCCGCAGGTGTTTCCAAGAAAGAAATCAAGGCCAACGCCGTGCTGTTCTGGGCAGCCGGGTACGACACGACAGCCAACACCATCTCCCTCACAGCCTACAACCTCGCACTCAACCAGGAGGCACAGGACAAAGTCATCCAGGAGCTTGACAGTGTGATTGAAAAGAGGGTAAGATGTTTCGATGTTTTTTTTTTAAATTCATCTGAATTAGACATAAAATTAAATCTATTCTACCTAGAATCATTAAAGCACACACTAGTGTACATATATATCATGTAAAAAAGCATATGGCATATTCAAATACAAAGCCGCATCAACATTTCAAAATTACTTCAAGGATGTCAGAGGTCACTTACACATATAGTGCATTCAGCTTCTAGTGCAAGTACATCACCAGAAGCTTTTTAAGGACATATATTGTATATTTGATAATGTCAATAATGCGATTCCTCAACAGTGCTGGTGCTGCTTTAGGAAGAGCGTTGTGAAATCCTATCATACTTCTCGCAGACCTCTGATTGGCCTTAACATTGCAAAAGGAGCTCCCAACAGAATGAGTTTTGTCACACAAAAAAGATACTGTCCAGGACCTAATGTCAATAACGATTGGTAAATGTATTCTCAGTCCCAAACAGACAATTTCGCATACTGCACTTGTTAAAACATGCCCGTTTTATTAATTATTCATGTCCAGGATGTGATGCACGTATTTCTATCCGTTTATAAGAGCATTAAAATTAGTTTTTTTTTACCTTCAAAGCTAAGTATTGTCAACACACTGGTTGATAACACGAGTAAATGTCACCGTTATATAACATGTACACCTTGTATGTTAAAGTCAGTTAAAGTCAAAAGTTTGTTTATGTTTGAAACAAATTTAATCCGTCAAAAGGGAAGGATAGACTACGAGGCCGTCCAGGAGATGCCGTATTTGGAGATGTGCATCAACGAGACCCTGCGGCTGTTTCCTGCTGCTCAGAGGTACGTAAAATAATATTGAACTATTATATGGTTGGCAATATCCATAAGGTTAATGAATATTTTAAGAACTTATATGATGACTGCAAACTGCAATACTTTTTGTAGATTCGTTTTTAATTCATTCATTTTTAACTGCAAGAACAAAAATGTGTTACATCAAAAGTTTTAACTTAAAGAAAATAAGACTTATATCTTTAACGTGTCGCTGGTCTTTTTTCTTCCTAAACTCATCGTTAGACTGCAACGTACATACTATGATGGACTAACAGACAAATTTACCAAATCGTAATAAAAATACGAACATTAGGGCAGGTGTATGTGTATATTTATGTTTTTTTTTTACTCAGTATTATATATATCCTCGTATGCTGAAGTACCGGGGCCTGGCTGGACTGCCTGTGTGAACAATTCATATAAGGAATATATACAAAAAAGTGCCCATGAGCAACTGTTTTAAATCCCTGTGTTTTGATGTCTTTTATATTATACTTTTCATTGCCAGAAACTGTCTGGCTGGGCCCCGAGTTGGAATCGTGACCTCAACAATACTATTGTCATAGAGCTAAGTGTGACTCTAACAACACGAACCATTAGAAAACTACATTGCTCTCCCTCTCTCTCCCCGCGTCTTTGTATGTGTCTGTGTAAATTTGCACATACAGAAAGAAAAGGAAATACAAATTTGTTCATTTAGAATCGTTTATTCATGCTGCTGCTCTATGAACGCTATCCTGATGTTTGTTTCAAGTCATTTGATTTCTACGAGCAGCTCTATGGTTTTTGGTTTTGAATGATTTAATAAAAATTATTTCTCACCAGGATTGACCGCGTTTGCAAAGAAGATACCGAGGTGAAAGGCCTGCACATTCCGGCAGGCATTGTCGTCAACGTCCCCGTCTGGGCAATTCACCATGATGCAGACATCTGGCCAGAACCCGAGACGTTCAAACCTGAGAGGTATAGTACGTCGATATGGTTGTAAGCTTGCTGTAGATTTTAAAGATTAATTAAATTAAAAAAAAAACAGTTATTCAAGCAACTGGATATTTTTTCCAAAATCATATCCAGTTGATTGAATAACTTTTTGGTATCTTCTTTGGCGTGACGTCGGAAACACGTGATTGCAGCAGAGGGTCGTACGTGCCATATAAAGAGTTGGTGTACATTCGGGTCAACCGTCAAACACTGAACAGAGACGGGGGGCGACACAGGTTATCTGGCACGTACGATCCATCACGTGTTTCCAACGTCACATCCCGGAAGCTGCAGTAGAAGGGTCCATTCCATGAACAAGGCTGACGGAGTCGGGTGAAAATTTGGGTAAGTCCCAATTTACTCAGTGTTGGCAAGAACGTTTACCCGCCCCTTTTTGTCATAATAAATTATACCGACACAGATGAACTTTCATGCTAACTTTTTTTGGTGTATCATATTATTCAAGTGCATATTGTTCACCGACGTATTTAACCAAATGCTTACAATTTTATGGACTCGTATGGTGGCTTCAAGCAATGGATTCGGTTACAGACACTGCAGAAAAAAACTTATCCTACCTCTTTCAAAACGTAGAATTGCACAGAAGTTCCTAATCTAACTTTAATTATCATTGTTCTCATTACCATCACAACTATTATCATTACCAATTATTACTCCTACTACTAATCTGTTTTTGTCCAAATCGTCATTATATTTAGGGGACGGGACAAATGCTCTCAGAATTTGATATCTGTTTCCGGCATATTCATTTCTGTTTATTATAATTCATATTTATCAAGTCCATGATCCCAACATATACGTCTACCTTACTTTAAAGTACGTCTACCCTATTTTGACTAGGTTTGTACCTTAGCTTTTTTTTCTTTTCTTGTGTCTTATATTTAATTGCACAGTGGCGGCGCTAATATAAGTACATCAACTTGATTTGAGCCTCCATTATGTCTGTATTTGTCATTCACCTGATTTAATATGTCTGTAGGCCCGTTTTTTACCCACCTGTGATGTCAGCACTAGGTCAAAGTTCGTCGGAAGTCTGTAACGCCCCCGCCCTGTTGGTATGCCATGATGTAAATGGATTTCTTCACTCCTCTCGCAAAATAAGCAAGTTATATGTCCAAGATGTAAATCCTTCCAGTGAGACTGCGTGACCAGAGTGATCAAAAGATCAAAAGATCCAGAGCTGAAAGGGCTTTGACCCAATGCTCAAGCGGGTAAAAGTTACGGGTCTACACCACTCAGGTCAGAAAGCTGATAAAGACCGAGAGATTCGGTCGAAAATTCCCGGGGAGTCATTTTTTTGGAGTTAGAGAACCAACTCACTGACACATGAACTTTCACGCAAATGGCTAATGTCTGTTTCCGGTTGGTTGACAGGTTCACTAAGGAAGAGAAGGAATCCCGTGATGCTTACGCCTTCCTCCCGTTCGGCTCCGGACCCAGGAACTGTGTGGGCATGCGCCTTGCCATGCTGGAGCTCAAGTTTGTTCTGGCTAAAGCCCTGGAGAAGTTTCGCTTCGTCACCTGTGACAAAACTGTGGTAAATCACGATTTCATACTTTTCTAGTCTACTGTACCTTGAAAACCTATGAGGGGGTGGAACTTTTCAGAATCATAACCTCCTTTTTTTTTTAATATTCTCGTTTATAATCCCCAAACATGTCTTTTGGTGCCTTTTCATCATAAGAGAAAAGCGGGTAGAAATGGATTTTCAAATTAGACTAATATGTAGTGCTAGTAATAGCTTGATATGCATACATGTATATACACGTTATTCTTTTGCTGTGACCTGTACGTTATACTATTGGTTCAAATGTATACTATTGTATTAGGTCTTTCATCATTTAAAAAAGGATAGGGTAAAATGATTTTCAAAAGAACAGAGTAACGGTAAGATGGAGATTTCATAAGGTCAAGGTAGAAGATTTTGACGGATATTTAAATGCATTGTTAAATTAATTAGCGCTTAATGACACAAAGCTTTGAGGATGATCTGTGAATGTCTTCACTTCATGCAAAAACACTCTGAGAAAAAAAAATTATTTCATTTTTTTTAAATTTTTAATGACATTGATGTTAACCTCAACCAGCAGAAACCTGTGGTAGCTAGCTCATTGCGGTTGCAAAACTGCTTCGGCCCAGTCAACGTGAGATTAATGATTAGAAAACCAATAAAACACAGGGAACATTGTTCAACGAACAAGGTAAGTGAAAAATACATAACATTGAAGCTATTTTTCGTTCAAGAGGTTCATCAGTCACGTATTAATCAGTAAAATATTCTTCAATAAGAAGCAAAACACGTACCTCCAAATTTTCGACGCCCATTGTACGTCTTAATCACGGAGTGACCTAGTCTCGCGAGAACACGAGGCCAGGCCAAGACTTGTGAAGATCTACGGGAAGGAGTCACAGAAGGCAAGGAGACTTTTAAAAGTCACTATTTTACTGGCTGCAGCTGTATTTTGTACGTATTTTCGTGTTGCTCATTTTTATATTCTTTCCACAGATTCCTGTCCGCATCAAGAACACCTTGGCCAACCAGATTGACGGGGAACTCTGGCTGAAAGTGGAATCTCGGGCTTCAGTTATCTAAGGGTCTGATCACTCGTCCATCGTACGATACATCTAAGACGTTATTATGAGATTTGTAAATGTTTAATAAAAAAACCCAGCTGTTTTGACGGGTTTAAAAACACGGTCTTACATCCAAAGGCAGACTCGGGTTTCTTAAAGAGGCCAGTAATACTATATAATGACCCCACCCTGCCGATATAAATTCGATAACATAAACTACCAGACTTCAGTCTTGTTCTGGCAGCCGTGCAGTGTACATGGGGGAGGCCTGTCTAAGACAGTTTAGCTTGCCAAGTAAAAATTTCTCTTCAAGACACTTTAAAATGAGACACACACACATATATAAGAAGCTATATTCACGAGTATCCAGAAATATAAAGTATACTGGCTTGCCATATTCTGACTTGTAGCTTGAGACCTTGGTTGACAGTTACATGCCCAGTTCTACATACAGAGCCTAAGTCCATACTGGTTTATCTGACTGCAAGTAGGCATCACATTTACAAGCCATATGTCAGACACAAAACTGCCAAAGCTAATTCAGTTGTGAGAAAGACAGATACAAGTAGACACTTTGAAAGTTTGATATAGCAAGGAAGGGTATTACATGTATATAGTAAGGGCGCCATATACATGTGCATGTATGTCATTGGATAAAACTTTGACAGGGCTGATTTGAAAGTTGGAATTTGTTCAAGATTGATTTTTCGAACTGAAAGTTGCGATTTCCTTGCTTATGTGGCTTCGTAACAAGTATCTGGGTCATTCTGCCTTTTGAAAATGTTACACTGAAAACCAGTAGATAATAAAAAATTTGAATCTTTGAAAACTGACCAGTATGCAAATACTCCTGCCTTTGTTCTGAAGGATAGACAGTCTAGGATTTTTATGAGTTTATGGGCCAATTCACTATTCAATCTGCTGGGAAGGTCACAGTGGGAGCACTTCCTTATTGTTTTTACCCAGGGTAAAATACTGGCCGGTTTAACGTCACAACGTTCATCATAGATGATCATACGATGTACAGACGACGAATGTGATTGCGCATTTAGGCACCATATAGTTGAAAATGCAGGCATATTTCAGAACAGAAACTACAACTGAGACACATTAACAAAGCTAACATTAAAGATATTCTAACATTTAGACGTTTCAAAAGAGATAATGATGAATATCAGAGAATATTGCGTCTAATACAAGAATTAAGGATCTTATTTATGTAAAGCACAGTAGACATATTGGTCTAAGTTTAAGAAATAAGGCCAGGAGTCAGAATGTAAGTAAATTCGAAGTCTCTATACTCTAGTTCTAGGTAGCGTTGTTTTACATTTACTGTTTCATAAAATAACATCTATAAGCTTTGATCTGTTTTAAAGTTGATATACCCTTATAGGTATTAGAGTTCGTCCTCAGCACTTTCACTAGTTCAAAATTATTGGTCTTTCTTGTCACAGGTATTTGTCACAGATATTTGTTGTAAGATTAGTAGCCACTGACATATGTTTTATTTTCTTTACTGTGCGTCTGTTATAATTATGTACAAGACTAACGTACGTCGTTGATTAACTAACACACAGAATGATTGCAAGTGTCTTCATGTACCCAGTGCAAGAATTGGTTGATTAACGTGTTGTTTGACACTCTGGTTTAAAAAACGATAATTGAAGGCACAGCTTAAGGATAAACTACATTCATAGCACATGCTCCTGTATGACAATTGTGTTACGTAGCTCAATTATTAAGTAATCATAATCATTATTATCTTGGAGCCTTTTACAGTAACCAGGAGTGTCCATTACGTTTTCCTGTTAATCTACGAAAGGGATTGAAAAAAACATAGAGAAAACATAAGGCAGTTAACAATGCACTTGTGGCCTTTTTAAGATGATAAAATAAAAGATAAACGTGTTTAGGACGAGACGGATTTCCAAAAATTATTGTGATCATAAATGTGCTGTTTTGTAAAAAAAAGACCCTGAGAGATAATGGCTTCTTGTACAAATTCTTTTTTTAACAACCATTGCTACATGTAAATGGTTCCTCCATGCATTAGCAAAAGTATTGTAATAACAACAATGTTATTAACATCCTTGGTGCGGTAAAGCCATAACAAAAATTTTTCGAGTCATACTGGGCATGTTTATCTTCTCACAGGTGACACATGGCTCGTTGAGGCTACGTAGTCAGAGAATGTAAAATTACACATATTAATATCCTGTCACATCGATAACAGTACAATAGACAAACTCTTTGCATGTTCCTGAGTTGTATATAGGATTAAGCGTGCACTCCCGACGTTTGATGTCTTATTCATGAGTGTTTTTTTTTTCAAAACATTAGAAACCAGGCATTAATGAGTGCCTTACGAGACCGTGTTCCCTATGATCCCACATTAGATCAATTGATATCGTTAATGCTATGTTAAGCACACTTACTCTACATCTCATTTAAAAAAAATGCCAACACCTTCTATACACATAATCCCTTTTCATCGGAATTACAAACTGCACTTAGCCTTCTTGCGCTGCAAGCCTATCACCGCACAACTCACAACATTGGACTGCCCACGTCCGACCTAGCGCGCGGCTGCCAAAAATTACAAACAAGCTTTCACCGCTTTGACGTTTTACATCAGTTGGGATGGCTTAATGGAAAATTATCACCAATAAAAACACACGTTCATACATCCGTTTAGTTTTTGACTTGATAGTCTTTTACTTGGAGTAATACATGAAGGAGACCTTAAACTAAGACTGTTTCGTAGAAAGATGACGACAAACCCTCGATACTTTCCTCACACCACAACACATCTGAACGGAGGCACAGGGGTTGTGAAACGAGCTCCGCAGAGATGAGGCAAAGTAAGGACAGTTTCATGTTTCAGTCAACCTTTTGTTTTAGGCTTTAGAACAAGATGTAATACTGAAATCCCTTTTTAACTAGGTAGACCTTTTTCCCAGTTGCAATTGCTATGATCCCCGTTTCAAGCGGGGATTTAAGTTAAAAGTTCATGGATACTTTATCTAAACTTCGAAGCAATGCTGCTAGTACAAAGGACAGACATGTTAATCTGTGTGGATAATTTTAGCGCCAATAATATGCATATTATTCTATGTGGATACCGATCAGTACCAAGGACAGGCATGTTTACCTGTGCGGATAGTGTTCAATGCCAAGGACAGGCATGTTTACCTGTGTGGATAGTGTTGAGCACCAAGGACAGGCATGTTTACCTGTGCGGGTAGTGTTCAGCACCAAGGACAGGCATGTATACCTGTGTGGATAGTGATCAGTACCAAGGACAGGTATGTTTGGCTGTATGGATAGTGTTCAGCACCAAAGACAGGTATGTTTACCTGTATGAATAATGTTCAGTGCCAAGGACAGGTAAGTTAACCTGTTTGGATAGTGTTCAGCACCAAGGACAGGCATATTAATATGATGACTTTTATTAACATATTAACCCGTGTGGATAGTGTTCAGTACCAAGGACAGGCATGTTAACCTGTGTGGATAGTGTTCAGTACCAAGGACAGGTATGTTAACCTGTGTGGATAGTGTTCAGCACCAAGGACAGGCATGTTTACCTGTGTGGATAGTGTTCAGTACCAAGGACAGGTATGTTAACCTGTGTGGATAGTGTTCAGCACCAAGGACAGGCATGTTTACCTGTGTGGATAGTGTTCAGCACCAAGGACAGGCATGTATACCTGTGTAGATAGTGTTCAGCACCAAGGACAGGCATGTTTACCTGTGCGGGTAGTGTTCAGTACCAAGGACAGGCATGTATACCTGTGTGGATAGTGATCAGTACCAAGGACAGGCATGTTTACCTGTATGGATAATGTTCAGCACCAAGGACAGGCATGTTTACCTGTGCGGGTAGTGTTCAGTACCAAGGACAGGCATGTATACCTGTGTGGATAGTGATCAGTACCAATGACAGGCATGTTTACCTGTGTGGATAGTGCTCAGCACCAAGGACAGGCAGGTATACCTGTGGATAGTGATCGGTACCAAGGACAGGCATGTTAACCTGTGTGGATAGTGGTCAGTACCAAGGACAGCCATGTGTGCCTGTATGGATAGTGTTCAGTGCCAAGGACAGGCATGTTTACCTGTGTGGATAGTGTTCAGTTCGAAGCACATGGGTTTTTTGTGTTGTAGTGCTGCTGCTACGTCTACATTCAGATGTTGGTGAAACGTCTACTCTTACGCTACACTAACAATGAACAGTGACAATGACTTAATTAGCAAAAAGCAAGCAGACTTACATAGTTGAGTCTGATGTATTATCCTAATTTACAACTAACATCTTTAAAATCGATCACAATATTTAAAAGCAGCTATTAATAAAGAATTTTAACAAGAATTCTATTTCTAAAATACGATGAAACACTTGTAATCGGAAAATAGTGTTCGGTCTTCTAACGTAGCTTGAGTATGTGGCTTTTGATGTTATGATTATACTACAAGGCTGGCGATAATTCGAGACAGCACATGAGTTACTTTTACGTACTTTTCCCTGCAGATCAAGCTGATTGAGGTGAATGGTTGTATGTCCAGTAACCTGAGCGGCCTGTACGCGGAAACCTGCCTGTCGGTCCCGCGGAAGCTGCACGTGCTCCTCGGGCTGTGCTGCCGGGGTCCTGCCCCCCCCCCCTGTACCCACGGGACGGGCCGCTCTCAACCTGCCGCTCTAAGTCCGCGGTGACTACACGGGGAAGGTCGGAGACATGGTCAACGAGTATGAGCTGGAAATCCTAAAGAAAGTTCCTGACGTCATGATCACTTGGATCATGTCTTTTGACGATGAGTTTCTCCCTGGTAAGACGGAGTTTGCAAAGGTTTGGACGTACGGGACGACCCCTGACGAGGCGAAGAAGAACTGCAGGGAAGTGATGCAGCGCGTGGTGAAGAAACATGAGCATTTGAAGTTAGACTTCCCGTAAATAATCTGTTTTAGCGCTAAAAATAACAGTACACTCTATGAGACTTTAAAGTTCTCAGACAAGGGTAGAACGAAAAATG